TATGAAACATCCCAATGTCATGGCAGAACCTTAATTTCCAATATTTTGTATTACATGGTATGCTGTTATGAACATACTTGGTCAAGTGTAGTGTAATTCAAAGATTCCTGAAATTATTGTGGGTTTATATGGAAAAACACAAATGGGATATTTTGATTTAGGATAATATTATTAAAAAAAATGTAGTTTCTTTATATGAGTTGTTTATTTACCCAGTTCAACCAAAGTAATAGCTGCTGTTTTTGGCTTTTAGCATTTTTTCTACAGCCAGTAAACCCCCCAGCATGTTATCCTATGTGTCCATGCACACATAGACTGTAATTAACGTTTTATGGCTGGGACATTTTTTGTCTGGAAAAAAATCCCAGGACTAGTGGGTTTCTAGAGGAGTTTATAGCTGTAAAAAATGCTCAAATGCTGAAAAATGTGGTAAAATGCGACAACTTAGCGTTTTTGGACTTTTTTTTAGCAGAAATTTTTTTGGTAAAAAAATGCTTAAAAATGCAGCAAAACACAGTTAAATACTAATGCAAAAATGCTAAAAAAAACACTGAAAAACTTGCATTTTTAATGTGACTTCCCCCCACACTTCACAGGTTCCAGAAGACTGCAGGATCATTCACCAAGTGCAGTTCTCTTCTCACATGTGTGGTAGGAACTGGCTGTGAAGCCCCGGGGCTTCACTGATGGTTTCCCTTACTTATGATGCTGGCACCTGTACCCAAAGCTGATTGAAGAATCGGCTCAGGTGAGGACATAGCTGGATCCCTGGACAGGTAAGTGTCCTTATATTAAAAGTCAGCAGCTACAGGATTTGTAGCTGTTGACTTTTAATTTTTTTGGGAGGAGAACCTAGAACTCCATTTTAAAGTAGAATTTTAAGCTAAACCTAACTAGTCTTAAAAATACTCCCCCCCCCCCCCCCCCCCCCCGCCTCTCCTAACACTCATACTGGCTAACCTGTGTAAGATGTTTTTACTTACCTATTATCAGCTCTAGTCCAGCCACATGATCCCTGTGTCAGCCAGCAGCTACTGCAGGCGAGATGAGAGAGTGCTCAATGGCTGGAATGCCTGGGAGTGGTGACATCACCCATGGGTTCCTATTGCCCATCTGTTGTTGGCACTCTCTCTTCTCCCCTGCAGCTAACTAACACAGTGGGTGATCACATGACCAGACCGAAGAAAGCTGAAAATAGGTTAGTATATACATCTTTCTTACAAGTTTAGTCAGTATGGGTGTTAGGAGGGGGTGCATTTTTAAGACTAGTTAGGTTTATCCTGGAATTCTACTTTAAAGTGTTACTAAACCCAGGGCCCTGCATTCACTATATCTGGTCTCCCACAGTACACACAACATGGAAATTTAATTATTTTAGTAAATATAAACTGCTAAATACCTTTTCTCATCAGCAGTTAGAGCAGTCTTGTGACTTCTATCAGTATCCAGCAGAGCACTGGTTAAAGCTTGTAGGAGGAGTTTTCATTCTGCTCTAGGAGGATGCAGAACCCCTGACCTCTGTCTGGACAGTGCTGATTGGCCCTGTGCTGATCACATGCATTATCCCCCAAAAAAACCTCTCTAGCAGTACACACCAAGCTGAGCATGTGAAGAGTGACTCCACACGATATGTCTTATCAAGAGATAAGAGGGGGACACTGGAAGAAGGGGATGATCAGAAAAGACAGGATCAAACAGCCTTTTTACACAATGCAGAGGATTAACCCCTTAGGTTCCACAGTAAGTATAACAAGCATGCTTTACTGCATATACAGACTGATTTTACTGTTGTGGGTTTAGTAACACTTTAAGGGTTATATTACAGCTCCATTGAAGGCACAGAAATAGATATTTGAAGCAGAACTGTAGGCAAAACTTTTTTTTTTTCATTTTGGATAGTGTAAGGGAGGGTTATTACCCCTGTCAGATTTTTTTTTTTGCTATCTGTGTCCCATTGTGAAGATTTCACTTTGCTTCCTCATCCAAACAGGAAGTGAGAGGAAAAACCTGCAAATTGAAGGAATTGCTTGGGGATTCCCAGGTCACCAAAACTAGTGTCCCCATTGGAATAGAGAGGGGGAATCTCCCTAACCACCTGACCTCCAGAGGATTTACCTCCCTTCCTGACCAGGCCATTTTTTGTGTTATGGCACTTTAACTGACAATTGCGTGATCATGCAATACCACACCCAGATGAAATTTACGTCCCTTTTTTCCCACTAATTGTGCTTTAATTCGGTGGTATTTGATTGCCTGTGCATTTTTTATTTTTTGAGCTATAAGCAAAAAAAGACTGACAATTTTAAGAAGAAAAACAATATTTTGGACTTTTTGCTATTAAACATGTCCAGTAAAAAAAATTTAAAAAATCAAATTTCGTTATAAATTTAGGCCAAAATGCATTCTGCTACGTCTTTGCTAAATAAAAATGCCAATACGTGTAAATTAATTGATTTATGTGAAAGTTATAGCATTTACAAATGGCAGTAGAGATACTGGGATTTTTTTTCCCCTCCTAGTAATGGCGGCGATCAGTGAATTCTAACGGGGCTGCGGTGGGCATTCTGACACTGGGGGGGGAACTAACTTGGTGTCACTGACATTCCCAGGGACACCAATACAGTGATCAATGCTAAAAAACAGCACTGACACTGTACTAATGACACTGGGCAGGAAGGGGTTAATGTGAGGGGCGACCAAAGGGTTAACTGTGTGTAGGGAGTGTTTTACTAGGGGGCAGGGGGGGTGTGCTTCACTGTAAGCACACTGATTGGTATGTCTATGCTGTGCACAGCCATCCCGAGCAGTGTGCCTGAGCTGACAGGGAGGAAGACTGTTTGTAAACAAAACAGTCTTCCTTCCCGTCAGTGATTGTCGGTAATCACTGGGTGCTGGCGGGTAATCATCGGCCAGGACCCAGTGATTGACATCCACGGTCTTGAAAGGTGGTGAAGGTAGGGCACGCGTACCCCCTACCCAGAAATGCAAAATCACGTATATATACCTGATTTTGCGCACCCGTGCCACCATGCAGCAGCATATCTGCTATATGGCGATGGGTAAGCGGTAATGGGGACACAGACAGCAATAAAAACTGACAGGTGTTCTAATCTTTTTCCTCTCTACCTAAAACTAAACAAAAAATAATTTGCTTTTAGTTATACTTTAATCGATTGACGTTGACTTTGTAAATGCTTTTTTATGTCTATAGCAGGAAAAGTATATTTAGGCCTTCACACCATATGTGCAGAAAAACCCGATAGAAACTGATGCACAGATTTCACTTGCAGAGATATTAGTTTACATCAGTTTTCATGCATGCTTCAATGAATTTTATACACGTTGCAGATTCCAGCACAGAAAAAATCTGCACATGATACTAGTGTTGTGAACAGGGCACATAGAGAACAATTGATTTTGTTGTGTCCTTGCAGAACGCGTGCAGAAAAACTGTCGTCTCTGCACCATGGTGTGAACAAGTCCTTACTTACCCACTCCTCTGCTCCACCAAGCTCTCTCCAAATTGCTAGACCAGTCTCCACAATCTTATCTCCCCTGCACTCCAGCAGTCACATGCCCTCTGACATCAACACATATAATGCAGAGCCAATAGCCCTGCACTGAAAGTAAGGCTGCTAAGGAACAGACCACTATCAAAATGTGGGGGGAATCAGGTGCCAAGGATCAGGCAAGTAAAAGTCCTTTTCCTGGTCCTTAAGACTTAGATAAGAATTTAATGTGTGCAGTGTGTAGGAAACAGCCTCACTGCAAGGGAGGAATTTTACTTTCTTCAAAGATAGGCTTTAAAGTGCATTATGGTAAGGTAACCCATTCATACATGGGCAGTCAATGCATTGTGACAAAGGTTTAAACAGACATACACCTTTTTTTTCAACACAGTGTACTGCAACTCCCAAGTGGTTCACATCTTTGCAATGCAGTGCACTAAAATACAGGCCCCTTGTTGTGTATTGCAGTGCATTGGGAATGTGCATTTGGGTGAAATTGTGGTGAAATATTGTGGCATCCAGCCTGTACATAAAATATTATAAAATCAGGAGTCACAGTTGTATAAATAAGAAAAGTAGTGTGGAAGATACCAGTTACTTTCAAAGGTGTAAATTTGAGGATATCTGAACTGTTAGAATGAAGAATATAATGCATTAAAGCACAGCAAAAATGTTTTATTTTTTGGAATGATTTAGAACCTTAGAATTCTAATATGTATTTTGTACCCCGTAGGGGACTATTACCTTCATTTACTGAGGAAGCCTGATTTTAAAGGTGTAACGCATTTAGGAATGGAGCCACGCCAGCATGTTCACTGCCCAGTTCAGGGCTGTACAGCATTGTGGTGAAAGGCACTGCCCATATGTACTATACGCATATCATGGCACTTGGTGTGCATTTTTATGTGAGTGTCCTGTTTAGATTTTTAATAAATATTTGAAATATATGGAGAGCACTGTTAGTGTTATTCCTTTTGCATGAGCATTTACCTTGTGGGAGGAGAGAGAAGAGAAGAAGCCATTCTGGGAGTTGGTTTGATATATTAATTGGAGCCATAATCCATTGTGTATAGAGCCGAGGAAGGGGTGCATTGTGTTTGACCTTGATTTTGAGATTGGGGTCAACATCCGGAGGTGAGCAGATATGGTTCATGGGAGGCATGCTGTACATGGGTGATCTGTTACTGTATGTGAAGATTCAAGATAATCAGACAACACTAGTGCTTTGGAGATATTACAACTTTAACTTGTTGCCGACCGCAGATAGCCGAATGATGGCTGCACTGCAGCCGGCCAGTTCTGAGTGGACGTCATATGACATCCCCCCAGAACGCGCTCTCCTGCGCGCCCCAGGGGGCGCGCGCACCTGGCGATCTCCGTGATTGATGTGTCCTACGGACACAGCTGATCACGTGATGTGGTAAAAGGCCAATCACAGCGGCCTTTTACCACCTGATCAGCGGTGTCCAATGACACGCTGATCAGAGGGAAATGCAAGTGCCGGTTCTCGGCTGCACTTTCCTCACGCTGTCAGATCGTGAGGAAAGTACTGCCGAGAACCGGCAGTTGTCAGAGCGGGGATCGGCACCGATCATCAGGGCACTGATGATCAGTGCCCTGATGATCGGTGCCCAGCAGTGCCACCCACAAGTTCCGCCCTCCTGTGCCCTGCAGTGCGCCCACTAGCTCCGCCCACCTGTGCCCAGCAGATCACCCACCTGTGCCCAGCAGTGCACCCACCTGTGCCCAGCAGTGCACCCACCTGTGCCACTCTGCAATTTCACACACCTGTGCCCAGAAGTGCCACCTACCTGTGCCCAGCAGTGCCACCCACCTGTGCCCACCCACCTGTGCCACCACCAGTGCCACCCACCTGTGCCCACCCACCAGTGCTGCCCACCAGTGCCACCCACCAGTGCAGCCCAGCAGTGCTGCCAGTCAGTGCCACCAGTCAGTGCCCAGCGGTTGTGCCAGTCAGTGCCGCCAGTCAGTGCCCAGCAGTGATGCCAGTCAGTGCCGTCTATCAGTACCCATCATCAGTGTCACCTATCAGTGCCGCCTATCAGTGCTGCATATTAGTGCCGCCTATCCGTGACACCTCATTAGTGCTGTCTATCAGTGCCGCCTATCCGTGCCACCTCATTAGTACTGCCTATCAGTGCCCTTTAGCGCTGCCTATCAGTGCCCATCAGTGCCGCCTATCAGTGGCCATCAGTGCTGCCTCATCAACGCACATCAGCGAAGGAGAAAAATTACCTGTTTGAAAAATTTTATAATAGAAACAAAGAAACTTTTTTTTTTCAAATTTTTGGCAATTTTTTATTTATAGCGCAAAAAGTAAAGCGCCCAGTGGCGATTAAATACCACCAAAAGAAAGCTTTATTTGTGAGAAAAAAAATGATCAAAATTTCATATGGGTACAATGTTGCATGACCGTGCAATTGTCAATCAAAGTGCGGCAGAGCTGAAAGCTGAAAATTGGCCTGGTAAATAAGGGGGTATAAGTGCCTGGTAGGCAAGTGGTTAAGGACTTTGTTCTATTACATGTGGACTATTTCTAATATATTTTTTATGTTTATTTTTTATTTAGCTTTCTGGAGTTGCATGGTTCCTTTGTATAGGTTGTGCTACACATCATACACATATTGAATTATTCTAGGAGTGGAGTGAGAATGCCTGGCAGGGTTTAACAGCAACTTAGCATGTTTTGTTTTTTTGCTATATATACTTATTGATCGCAGGCAGTCATAAATTTCATTTTTGCATTTCAATGATTTTTATTAGTTTATAAACTTAAAAAAAAAACAGGAGCAACAAGACACGCCCACACAGTGGCCATCAATTGCACATAAAATAATAAAGAGAAAACACTGCTCTAACACCATCAGAGCAAAAGGTGTGCCCACACAGGGGCTATCAATGGCACATAACTGACAAAAACATTGTTATAACATCAACAGTAACTCAAACAAAAGGCAGCTATCCAAACCAAAAAAACAAACAGAAATAGAAAAGGAAGGAGGAGTATAAAAGGAAAAAGATGACAAGACCATGAGCAGGGGTTCTGGAACACCAGTACCAAGCAACATCACAACCCCAGACTAGCCGGTGGGAGCATGGAAAGGGCATATTGCAACCACGGCTCCCATATTTTCAAACATTTCCATTGGGAGTCGTTACAAATACTCGACATCTGTTCATTAAGCATCATAGTGGTCATACGGTCCCTCACCCCTGAAGAGAGACAAAGGGATCATTTGCATTTTTATAAAAATTTTGTTCTATACTGTGAGGGTGACTGTGCTGATTGAACAAACAGCCAGATAGTTCATGTGCTGTCAAGAAGCATGCTGCTAGAAAGAAAAAGTGATGTGATGGAGAGATGTGCTCATCACTGTGCTGCTTCTCTATTCACTATCCAGTCACAGGGCTAAAGGGAAATGGGTCAAATGACCGGAAAGATGAAATAACAGCAAAAAGTTCTGCGAGGGAAACCCCTTGATTGAAGAAATATATTATAGCAGAAAGTGGTTTTGTTTTATTTTTCTTTCAATGGGCTATTCAAGTTTATTGGGCTAGTGTTGTGCTTTAACCCTTCACCATTCTATTCAAAATGAACAAAAAGATTTTGTCTGGTGTTGAGCGTTAAAATAAAACCTAGTGGGAGGTCCCCTTCAATAAAAAAAATGAGGAGAAGTGGCAAAATGAGGAGAAACCAAAAGGGTATTGATTACTTGTCTTTGGCCTCTCTATAACTAATAGTTTTATTGCCAATAAACAAATGCTAAAATACTATCTTAAGTCAAAGGAAATGAGGCAGCCAAAGGTGCATTGTTATGATATTATATCAGGGTAAAAATTTCAACGCGTAAATAAGATTGAATGCGAAACATATTACTATAAAAAGTCAAATATGGGGTAGCAACGCTCTCCTATATCCTCATTCTTCGAGTTTTAGACACAAACAATGACTTTCAAGGGGATTCGTATAGCACTGTGTGTAAACCTCTTGCAAATATCCTTGTTTTAAACTGATCATCTCTTTTATTCATGCTAATTACCATATCAGGTTGTAGCAATATTTCCTATGAATTAAAGAGAGAATCACATGCTTGAGGGCCATTTGTGTAGGTAGGTAGGCCCATATGCCTGGAGTGCTGTGTTGGAATTTAAAAGGTAGGTTTGCTTGACCCCAAATCTGAAAATAAGGAATGCAAGAGCATATCTGGTAAAAAGACAGTTTTCAGTCATTTTCCCATCTCTAATGGCCAGGATGGGTGCCAAGGGCAGTACTATTCCAAAAGGAGATTGTGCAGCATAAGAATTGATCTCATTGATTGTTTTTGTCTAAATCCTTGGTCATTTCAAACTGTGTATTTAACTCATTAAAAATAACAGAGATAGAGTATAAGGTGGAGGGCAATGAGCTTAAAGCATGCATATTTGTTCACAATGCCCAGGGCCACACCAAGTCCTTGCTAATTATACTTTAGCAATTTACTCTTTATTCTTTCTGGTCAATAATACATTTGTAAAAATTACTGAACTACATGCTATGGTGTAAAGGAAAGTATAACATATATGCTTTAAACAATTGGGCTCTTAAAATATCATTAGAAATAAGAAAAACTAAAGTCAGCCATACAAGGATTGAACTCCTGCCAGTTCAGCAGGGACTGGCTGAGTTTTGATCCATGTATAGGCAGGGTGATTATACAGAAGTCGATCTCCCGATTGACTTCTGTTCAACCACCCTGGTGGAAAATTTCCACTTGATCAAAGTATTCCGATGGTGGGGAAGCCTCCCTGCTGTCTGAGTACAAAGGCACAGTGGGAGGATTCCCCCATCAACCTAGAATGTGTGGATGGGGGGAATCAAGTAGTTTTTTTTGAATAAAAAAAATTGATATTCTATGGGCTGCCTAAGCCTATAAATTGCAGTTTACTAAACAGGTGCAAAGTTAGAATAAGTAAACCAAAACAGGGCCTGAATAACAAATACAGGACCTAAAAGGTAAGTGTAAATCCCCTTGGGACTTTAAACAGCAGGAACAAAATAGAAAAAGTGTCTAAAAGACCAATTGTCAGTTTTTATTTGTTCACACATTCATGAATAAAAATTTGGCCCAAGGGCCTATAAGAACTTGCATTGGTTCGATGGGAATTTACACATACGTTACAAAAAACTGGACATTAAGCATATACCCTTATGTGAGAATGAAAAAAACAACGATGGGACTTCGCTGAATGTAAAATAACATAGCAGGTAGCACGACACCATAATACATAGTATATTTAATTCTTGATTTTTTTATTCACCCAAATATACGTCAATATCATTTTCTTTAGGGTTATAAAAAAAGACCCTGGCAAATATATTGGGAGCATATGAAACCTATATAAAATCTTTGGTATTATTACCATTTTAACCATATTTATACGACCTATCCATGACAGCTGTACTATAGACATTCTGTACAGTTCTTCTTTTATCTCATTTAATAATGGAATATAGTTTACCTGATATAGATTTTTATTGACGGAGTTAGCTTTATTCCTAAGTATTTTAATTCCTTTCCCTCCATGTAAAGGGGAAATCTGATTGTAAGTTCTGTTTCTCTATCTTTCATATGTTGATATTTAATATTTCTGACTTGGAGGGATTCATTTTTAAGTTTGATAGTTCTCCATAATGTTTTAATCTTCTCATTAAGTTGGAAAGTGTTAAACTAGGATTTGCGATATAGAACATATCATCAGCGTATGCCGCGACCTTGTGCTCTACATCCAGATTTCCCTTTATATGTACACTTTTTCATATTGTTGCTAATGACAGTTCTAAGGATATTACAAACAGCAGTGGAGAGAGTGGACATCCCTGCCTCGTTCCATTATACATTTTAACCACCTCCCGTCCAGGCGTTGTATATAAACGGCCGGATGGTGGCAGTGCAGGGTTGGGTGGCCGTTTATAAACGGCCTCCCCGCACCCTGCTTGTGCGCGCTCCCTGGGAGCACCATGATCCAGTGCCTGCTGTGTCCTCCGGACACAGTGGAATACCGATCGTCGTACGGGACCTCTGTGCGAGGTCCCGATCATGTGATCATTGATTGGCCAATCAGTGATCACATGCAGAGTAGTAAGCAAGATGTCACTTCTGACATCATTGCTTACTACATGTGAAATCTGTGAATGATCACCGAGGTCACATGGTACAAGGCTATTCACAACAGCCTTGTACCATGTGACAAGCTGTGACCAATCACAGATCACACAGTAGTTCTCAATGGCTGCAAGAATGCAGCCAGAGAGAAGGAGAAATTATTGCTTTTACAACCTTTATGGGTGTAAAAGCAATCAGTGTAAAAAAAAAAAAATCTTCATCACCCCCCACAAGTAGTAGTGTCATCATGGTGACACTGTACTGCTAAGGTGACAGTATGTAAAAATAAATAAATAATAAAATAAAAAAATAACATAAAAATTTTAAAAAAAAAAATGCTTAAAAAGTATAATTTGTGGTTATAAACTAATTTGTGTCATTTTTTTTTTTTTTTACGAAAAAGATAACGGAATAAATTTATGCCAAGATTTATGATGAAACACTATTTATTTGCAAAATTTTATAAGAAAAACACTCTTTTTCTAAATTTTTTGACATTTTCATTTACATAGCAAAAAAAATAAAAATCCCAGTGGTAAATAAATACCACCAAAATATAGCTTTATCTGTCTCAAAAAAATGCTAAAAAATTCATATGGGTACAGTGTTGCATGACCGGGCAATTGTCATTCAAAGTGTGATAGCACTGAAAGCTGAAAATTGGCCTGGATAGGAAGG